ATAGATGAGAGATAGATAGATAGATATCAACCACAATTACAATTAGGGAAAGACCTGATTAGATATTTCTCAAAAGAAAATATACAAATGGCCAATAAGTAACACTCATCATTGAAAATCATCGGGAAACTGCAAATTATACCAAAATTAGATATCAATCATCTCACCTCAGTAAGACTGTGCTTTATCAAAAGACCACAAAAAAAATTGCTGGCAAGAATGCAGAGAAAAGGAATGCTTATACTCCATTTCCAAGAATGGAAATTGGTATAGTATTGGAAAACATTATGGAAATTCCCAAAAAAGGAAAGAAAAATCCAGAAACAGTAATATCACTTGATCCAGCAATTTCACTACTGGTATATATTCAAATGAAAGGAAATTCGTATGTCAAAAAAAAAAATCTATACTCCCATATTTCTCACATCACTATTCACAATAGCCAAAATATGAAATAAAACTAAGTTCCCATCAATGGATAAATAAGTATAGGAAATGTGTTTTGTAAACACAATCAAATATTACTTGTCCACAAGAAATTGTGATGTCCTGCCTTTTGCACCAACATAAACAGAACTGGAGCACATTATATTAAGTGAAATAAAGCAAACACAAAAAAACAAATACCATATGTTCTCATTTGTAGAAGCACAAAAGATTAATCTCACAGAAGTAGAAAAAGGTAGGAAGAAGGGGAAAGAATAATGGTAAAAAGAGAGAGGTGTGGCTATACTTGAGTCATAATTCTAATGTTCTTTTACATAGTAGAATAAGTAACATTGACAACAGTTAATTGCATATTTTATATAGCTAGTAGAGAAGATTTTGAATGTTTCAACAAGAAATGACTAATGTTTCAGGTGATGGATCTGTTGTTACTCTGATCTGACAATTAAATATTATATATGAATTGAAATATCATAATTTACCCCATAAATATGCACAATTATTATGTGTCAATTAATTTTTTTAAACTTTACATGCTTCAAAAAAACTAATATGTAGGAAACAGAAATGAAATCAAGACTTTTTTTCATAAAAGACTCATAACCTATAATACTAGGAGTCAACTATTTCTAAGAAAACACAATGTGGGGTAACATTTTTAAATCAAATTAAAAAGTCATCTTGCTATTGAAATTTTATATTTAGGAATCACAAGAAGAAATAACCCACACATCATCAAATTTGTTTATGGGATATTTTCTTTGGAACTCGATGGCTAACAGTCAGTGAAAACACTCTTACAATTAATGTTATAAAGTACTAAACCATGCTGTTCTTGTCAAATTGACTTTCTTAAAGTTCAGAAATTTGAAAAGCACTTTGAAATGAAGTAAAATATATGTGAACTTGTACAAACACTGTGTAAATAATTTGCAAAAATACATAGAATTTCAAGGTAAATAATTTTAATGTTAAATCTCTGTACTTCTGTGACATTTGACTTTCCACAATAATAAATTGCAATTAACCATGTGGCTTAAAACTAATTTGTAAAACAAACATTGATTTAACATAGCTAGCTATAAGATTTGATATCAAATTAACAGTTTGTTAGACTCATTCAGAATACTTCCTGGACCAGGAAGTATGACACTTGTTTCATATTTAAAATCTCTATGGTGCAGGTGGCAAAGATTTTCTTCCATTCTGTAGTCCGTCTATTCACATTCTTGTTTTCTTTGCTATGAGGACACTTTTTACTTTGACACCACCCATTTATTGAATCTGGATTTTTCTTCTTATGCTTTAGGAGACTTGTGGAAGAATTCAGGTTCTAAGCTGACATGATGGAGGGTTGGACCTAAATTTTCTTCAACTAGGCACAGTGTCTCTGGTGTAATGCCTATGGTCTTGATCCACTAGGAGTTGAGTTTTGTGTAAGGTGAGAGATATGGTTCAATTTCATTCTGCTGCATATGGATTTCCAGTTTTCCCAGTACCACTTGAGAAGAGGCTATCTTTTCCACAATGCATGTTTATGGTGCCTTTGTCTAGTATGAGATAACTGTATTTATGTGGGTTTGTCGCTGTGTCAGATAGAGCATCAATCTCCAAGATATACAAAAAACCAAACATCCCAATGAATAAATGGGCAAAGGAACTGAACACACACTTTAAAGGAAAAAAAATACATTTGGTCAACAAACACATGAAAAATGTTGAACATCTCTAGAAACTGAAGACATGCAAATTAAAACTATATTGAGATTCCATCTCACTCCAGTCAGAATAGTAATTATCAAGAATGCAAGTAACAATGTTGGCAAGGATGTGGGAGAAAAGGTTCACTCATACATTGCTGGTGGGACTGCAAATTGGTGGGACTGCAAATTGGTGCGACCACTCCAGAAAGCACTATAAATATTACTCAGAAAACTTGGAATGGATGGCACTAGAGCAGATTATGCTAAGTGAAGCTAGCCAATCCCTAAAAAACAAATGCCATATGTCTTCTTTGATATAATGAGAGCAACTAAGAACAGAGCAGGGAGGAAGAGCAGGAGGAAAAGATTAACATTAAACAGAGACATGAGGTGGGAGGGAAAAGGAGAGAAAAGGGATATTGCATGGAAATGGAAGGAGACCCTCATTGTTATACAAAATTACATATAAGAGGTTGTGAGGGGAATGGGAAAATAAACAAGGAGAGAAATGAATTACAGTAGATGGGGTAGAGAGAGAAGATGGGAGGGGAAGGGAAGGGGGATAGTAGGGGATAGAAAAGGTAGCAGAATACAACAGTCACTAATATGGCATTATGTAAAAATGTGGATGTGTAACTGATGTGATTCTGCAATCTGTATTTGGGGTAAAAATGGGAGTTCATAACCCACTTGAATCTAATGTATGAAATATGATATGTCAAGAGCTTTGTAATGTTTTGAACAACCAATAAAAAAAAACTTAAAAAAAACTTGGAATAAAACCACCATTTGACCTGCCTATATCACTCTTTATTATAAACCCAAAGTACTTAAAATTAGCATACTGCAGTGATGCAGCCACATTAATGTTTATAGCAGCTCGACTAACAATAGAAATCTAGGGAACCAAGCAAAGTGCCCTTCAACAGATGAGTGGATAAAGAAAATGTAGCATATATACACAATGAAATATTACTCAGCCATAAAGAAAAATGGAATTATGGCATTTGCCATTAAATGGATGGAACTGCAGACTATCATCCTAAGTGAAATAAACAAATCCCCACACACCAAAGGCTAAATGTTATAATATACAATGTTAACACAAAACAAGCTGGGGGAGGAAAGAAAAGAAGTTCATTGGAATGAAGGGGAGGGAGGAGAGATGGGAATAGGAAAGACAATAGAATGAATTAGAGACAACTTTCCTATGTTCATATAGGAATACATGACCAGTGAAACTCCACATCATGTGCAACCCACAATAATGGGATCTTAATTAGAATAAGTTATACTCCATGTATGTCAAAATACATTCTATCATTATGTATATCTATAAAAAAACAAATAAAAAATACAAAAAGTATGAATAAATATATTATTAAATTTCTATATAGTAAAAACTAATGTCACACATTTTTGTGAAATTACTTAGCATTTAATATTAATATGTAATGAATTTTATAGTAAGTTAGTGACCTTTGTTAATGACTTCAAAAAATTGTGGTGATTGACATATGATTTCAAATACTCTGACAATCTTAACAAGCTATGTTCCCTCTGGGTGACCTCTCTGGCTGAATTTCAGCAAGCCTTATAGCTCCCTGAACAAAGACAATACAGTAGAAGTGACATAGTTTATTTTCAAAAACTATTAGAAAAGACAACACATTCTCTCTCTCTCTCTCTCTCTCTCTCTCTCTCTCTCTCTCTCTCTCTCTCTCTCTCTCTCTCTCTCTCTCTCTTATCCCTGTGTCCTTTTTCTATCTCTTCCTTTCTCTCTTATGAATCTGAATCAGTACAGAAGCCTCCAAGATAAACTTTTAGTGGAGAGAGAGAATTGTCCCACTTGTTCCAACCCAAAAAGTCAGTTTGACTTTTTTTGACATTGACTAGAGAAGTGGATGAATGACCTTCCATGATTATATACCCGCCACCACAGGACCACATCCATCTAAGAAAGCCTGTGTAAAAACCACCTTGCTGAGTGCACTCAACACACCAAATTATGAAAGAAGATACCAAAACAAATGTTGCTGTTCTAGTCCTCTACATTTGAGAGCAATTTGTTAAACAGTGATAGATAACTGGAACATTAAATTGACATATTTTTAATTTTACTAATGTAATACTCTTTCAGTTAATACAGAGGTATATAAAGGAGAGACTAAAAATGTAACACTTTGAAACTAAATATTACACAGGAAATGGAGTCAGTATAACAGAGGCAAATGGTTCATATTCTGTACCTAGTAGCTTTTGTACTAGTCCCTACAAAGTGATATAAAGAGACAACGTATATTAGACATTCTTAGGAGTGTAGCAAAGAGAATAAGTAGAGGGATAGGGCTTATTTCCAGATTGTTAAATGCCCTAAACTTGATTGCAGTGATGGTTTTACAATTCTGAGATTGTACTATGTACCACTGAGCTTTATGTTTATTGCTGCATTGTATGATATGTGATTTACATGAAAACAAAGTTGACACTTCCCCCCCAAAAAAATCATTGAAGGAAGTTATCCTTAAATGTTGATTCACCAGGATTATGACTATATTTCTGCTTCTGTACAAAGAAGCTGCAAACAAAAGTAATATGTCACATGCCACTGTTCTTGACATTATTCGAAAACATCAAGTATAACATAAGAGACATATACATGTAAGGTCATCAACTCTTAACTACAGGAAAGAACACAGAAAGGAATTATGGCACATTTTCATTAGGACATGAGGTCATCTACCATTTGCTTTTCCCACTTGGCAGTCAGACACTCTGTCTATTAGTGTATGTATTTACTTAGGTGGGTACAAGTTATATTTTAACTAATGATTTCTGCTTGGATATCAACAAGAGCAGAGGGAATCCAGTGTGAAAGGAAGCCTTGCATCTCACCAGGATGTCTACAAAAATGACTGCAGTTCTACTCCTGTTACAGCTGAGTAGTCACTTTAGTTCTGGAAGTTGTGGGAAGGTGCTTGTGTGGCCAATGGAATACAGCCATTGGATCAACATAAAGACAATATTGGATGAACTAGTTCAGAAAGGTCACGAAGTGACTGTTCTGATATCCTCAGCTTCCGTTTCTTTTTATGTTGAAGAAGGATCTGCTATTAAATTTGAGACTTACCCTTCAGCAATGTCTAAAACTGACATGGAAGATTTTTACATTGAAGCAATCAGGAAGCTGATTTATGAGCTGCCAAAACAATCAATTTGGACATACTTTTCACTGTTGCAAGAACTGCTATGGGAAGGTTTTGAAAACTTTTTGACACTCTGTCAAGAGGTAGTTTTTAACAAGAATCTTATGACAAAACTACGTGAATCCAAGTTTGATGTCATTCTTGCAGATGCATTTGGTCCCTGTGGTGAGCTGCTAGCTGAGCTATTTGAAATACCACTTGTGTATACTCTTCGCTTTTTGTATGGCTACACGTATGAAAAATATAGTGCAGGACTTTCATTCCCTCCTTCCTATGTGCCTATTCTTATGTCAGAATTAAGTGATCAAATGACATTCATGGAGCGGATAAAAAATATGCTGTATGTGCTGTATTTTGATTTTTGGTTCCAAACATTTGATGAGAAGAAGTGGAATCAGTTTTACAGTGAAATTTTAGGTAAGTCCTATTTTCTAATGGCAATAAAAATTCCAAAATTAGTCATGTCTCTGAGGGTGAGCCTGCGGGAGTATGAAGTCAGAGAAGTTAATCTTTTAAATGTATGGTGATAAAATAAAAAATATTTTATCACAATAATACATCAAACTCAAAACACTATGGAAAAGCTTCAGTTGTAAAGTTAGTTTGAAATGTTTGGATACAGCAGGAAGTCACACACACAAAATAAGCCACTGGGGACTTCCCTAGGAAGTCAAACACATTTATTACCCTTTTAGTATCCATTAAATTTCATCTTCAAAACAATAATTTTTAATGTTACTCAATGTCTTCATGAGTCTAGAATGTAGTTGGATGACTCCTACAAATATTTCTAGAACAATTATCTATGTAGCTTTGAGTAAATCAGCTCTGTATCTGTAGATTAGTTTCCACATTTATAAATTCAAATATTCTGTCACTTAATTCATCTCTCACATTGTGCCTTTCATGTATGTCCACATAAATATGAGCAACATATATGTTTTTTATATATGCACATATGCACACACACACATTAGCTTTATTAAATCACAGAAACTCTTAAACATGTTTGGCTTCATTATTAAAAGGTTTTTCAGATATTTACCAGACATATTCATTTCCACATGATAGCTTTCTAATGTCCTATAGCTTTTGTATTCCTTTTCCTGTTCAGGACGACCCACTACATTACTAGAGACAATGTCAAAAGCAGATATCTGGCTCATTAGAACCTACTGGGATTTGGAATTTCCTCGCCCAACCCTACCAAATGTTGATTTCGTTGGAGGACTCCACTGCAGACCTGCCAAACCTCTGCCTAAGGTAAACCTATTCCCATTTAGTTGGTTCTGTTGTCCTTGCATTTTCACCAAGAATGATTCTCTGTTCTCACTCAGAATGTCTCATTCACTGTGGAAAAAAAAAAAGTTATAGGAAATGGGACAAAGAGATCTGTAGATAGAAATTCTTACATATCTATGCATATTCACATAACTATGTGAATTTTATTTTTTTAATAGTAGAAAAGCAAAACCTAGGGACTTTTGAGAGCTACACAAAGCTTCAGTTAAATTGAGGTCTTTATTTCTCAACATACAAGACAATATCAGTCATTAATTCAAAGAAATGCCTAGCATGTACCATAGGAAAATTCTTTATATGCAGAGAAACAAAGAAACACAGTCTCTTCTCCCAAATACCTTACATTCTACATTGAAAGACAGACTGTGAACACGACAGAGAAATTTTGTGAGAAATATTATAATAGGGAAGGACCACAGGCATTTCCTGTCTACCCAAGGCTATCAGGGAACCTCAGGAAAACTCCCTGTGGCAAAGTGGGTCACCACACTTTAGTTGTCTTAAAGTAAAAGACAGAGAGATATACTGCAGAGTTATCAATGACCATAAATTTTGCATATTTGAAGAATAAATATTAACTTGTACTACTTGTATCTGTAGGATGCTCTTAGCTTTTAATTATAAAATAATTCGGTAAGTATTTAGAATAATACTGCTTATGAAAAACCATAAGAATCTGATGTATTTTTTTTTAACAAATATTGCACTTTTATCATTCCAACAAACTGGAAGGATAATAAAAAGAGACACAGAGAAAAGATGCAGAGGCAGAATGGCCAAGTTGCCAGCTTTATTTATATCAATAGGTTACATTAGGTCACTGGCATCAGTAATACATTATTGTTCATTGTGTCATTAGGCAGGATACAGAGTTAGCAACATTATGCAGCTTTTTTCTCAGTTACACACTATAGTTGCAGTGTACAATGTTAGCAGCTTTGTATAGCTCTCAAGAAAATCCATTGTTTAAAGTTACTATTATGTGGGCAGGTTCAGGCAGCAGAGTTTGGTGAAACATTGTGGTTGTTTAACAAGAGAATTTCTTTATTCCCATGAGCTATGTGCCTAAGATGAAAATTGAGAATGGTAAGACTCTACCACAGAGACTCCTCATGCAGGTCATTGATACAGCAGCTAGGCATTCTGTGTCTTTGCACAGAAACTTCCTAGCCACCAAGCATGCCAAAGTCATAAAGCCATCAGAGACCCAATCCTGTAAGGAATAATAATAAAGAGGAGACAGAGTCAAAGTGCAGAAGCAGGGAAGGTGGAAGATTGGCTCTTTGTCCAAGTGGCCACATTTATTTATACCAATAGGTTACATCAGGTCATTAGTACCATAACCACATTATTGTTTAGAGTATCAGTAAGGTTGCTTATTCTGCAGTAACATTTCACAATTGCAATAAGCAGTGTTAGGAGCTTTGTGCAGTTCTCAAGAAAAGCCACTGTCTGAATGTTAGGCGGGCAGCTCCAAGGGCACAGAAGCTTGATGAAACGTTGTAGTTATCTATCAAACAAGTTTTTCTATTCCCAGGAGTATGTGCCTGCAATCAAGGTTGAGGCTTGATGAGGGTCTAACACAGAGGTCTCAGGGCATTGCCACACAAGCTGGACATAGCATATAAATTAGCTGTATTATTAAATCCTCAGAAAAATTATTGGGCATTCTAAGGGTGGGAAGCAGAGTGCCTGCTATCCCACTTCCCCCTTGTGCTTTCTCACCATGGGAATGCTGCTCTTTACATTTTCAGGGCCAGAATCCCTATACAATCCCAAACACAGAGCTGTTACATTAAACAGCAATCATTTATTTCACTATTAAGCGATCACTTAAGAGATTTTTTTGTCTACTCTTTTATTAGCAGTATGATTGTATGTGATCTCATTGAATATTTAAAATCCAAATATAGGTACTTAAAGCCAAACTTTGAGCCTACATGTTGCAATTCAATTTCAAAAGCACACCTAAGAGTAATGGAAGTTCTGGGTAGTTCAATCCTATTTTAAAAAGATTTCTCCATTTGTGTTAAATGGAAATGACAGTGTCAATACAGAAGGAAAGAGAGGATATCCAGAAAAAGAATGAGAAAGATGAAGTTCAGCCTAAGTGCAGGGTGACGGTCAGTGGATGAAAGATTACTAAGAACAAACATCAGAAGTCAAGGAAATTTTGGCCAAAACAATAATTCTTGCTGAAGATAGAACATAGTACTCAGATATCACAACTGACAAATTTCCTGATGTGCAATTTAAGTGCTTTTAGTGATGGCACAGATATCAAGGTCACAGTTGAGATGATTTCTTAGAACAAAGCATGAAACCACCCAGCTTCAATTTGTGGGAAATCTTTAGAGAGTCACACACACACAAAAAAAAAAAAAAACAGTCACAATTTTGTTCCTGGTAGCCTACACCAGGAAGATAGCAGAAACAATGAATACTTTAGTTTGATGAGGAACCTAGAATTGAAAATTTAGTGAGGATGGACACAACATGACACTGTCCAATTTACAGGTTAAAATAACACAAAATAGTGTGTCATGGTATTCCTCTGTGACATGAAATTTACCTACAACCACTCAACTCCATTTCTGAAAAATGATAGGTAAAGTAAAGTAATTCTTCCTGGCCAAATATGTTTAATTTCATTGTATTGCGTGGATTATTTTCACCAATGAAGCAAGAATGGAAATTGATCATAATGCTTTGGAGGTTTCCTTTGCCAGATCTTTCCAAAAGAAATCTCAGATAGACTTCTAAAAGCCTCCTGAGGCTGGGAAACCTGGGAAGCCAAGTTAGGAAACAGAGTTAAACGTCTAATGGCAAGAGCATCTAGTATGTTGTTTCCAAATTCTGTAGAGATTAGAAAAAGGGAAGCCAATAAATGATTAATTTCTATAAAAAAATGTAAATTACAAATTTGTTATTTGGAAAAATTCTGTACGGGAAAAGAAAAAACGGTGCCTTGAATCATGAAAACAAAACATCAAATTCCAGCAAAATCTCAAACTTAATGTCAAAAATATTATAATCCTTCTTTATCAGATCATTCATTTCCATGTCTACTTTAGGCAGGTTCATCAAACTGCAGTAGTTAAAGATGTGATGAAAGTCCATTTGACAAGCAAATGTTTTAGTGACACGTTTTCTTATAGGACTGTTATATCATTCAATAATTCCTTATATTTCTTAACAGACACAAATATAATTATGCTTAAAAGCCACATGTAAAAATTAAATGAATGCATACTTAAGTGTTTTAGTCTTATGTAGAAATGGGCTACACATCTAATAAACAAATATCCCTTAATTTAACTTAGTATATAACTAAGGTATCAAATTAACAAAAAGATTTTGGAAACTGGTTTTAGGAAAACATACTTTTCACACTTAACAGCAAAAATACTAGACCTCATCTCAAATTATTTCCTTGATAACTAATTGCAACCATAGGTGACTGGTAAACCCAGGTGGAATAAAAATATAAGCTCATTTTATACTTATGATGATAACTGAGTCACACATCTGTTTTTAGTAAACCAATAACATCAAACTAGTCATATTTTCCAAAGACTTACTAAGCCATGTGAATATTGAAAGTATTTGATTTTTTCTACATTTCTGGTAATTTTAGGTATGTTTAATTTATGTAAGTGCTCATTTATATCACAGTGGGTAGGAATAGAAAGCCATTCAGAGATTTTATATATTCCATTAGGCATATCATCTAGAGCTGAGAAAATATCAAATATATGTAACATGTAACACATACACACATACATACACACATACAGGCATAAACATGCAGACACACAGATCTCCAGCTTCCATTCTAAAATTTTAGGCATGAATCGGGCAACACTGTAATACAAAACTTACTGCTATTATCTCCATATAATATTTCATCTAAATTGTGTTTCTGATAAAATGCAAAAAGGTGAGATTATATATTCAATATGGAGTAAAGATTCTTGGAATTAAAATATGTGTGAAGAAGGCTTTTAAGGGAGTCTTCATTTTAGGTGAGGGAGACAAGACATCTTGTGTCCCTCTAAATGTCTTTGAAGCCCATCTAAGTGGACAACATATTCAGTTTATGTCTAATTAGCCTTTTCCCTTTCAACCTCAAGTAGTTGCTTTTGGAGGATCCTGAGTTCCTTGAGAGCCCTTGCTTGAGGCAGAGGAACAAGTGACTGTCAATGCAGGAACAGAGGCGCTAAAGAGGGAAGTGAAAAGTGCAGCTCTGGGCGGGGGATATGGCTCAAGTGGTAGCATGCTCGCCTGGCATGCGTGCGGTCCGGGTTCGATCCTCAGCACCACATACAAACAAAGATGTTGTGTCCGCCGAAAACTAAAAAATAAATATTAAAAATTAAAAAAAAAGTGCAGCTCTGTGCACAGGCAGAGGGAAGAGATAGGACCTAGAAGGAGACATAGCAAAGGGTGCAAGGGACCTGAGGAGAACAATGACATGTTAAAGGAAGAAGAAACAGGAGATGGAAAGGGAGAGTCCACCAAGGAGCATGTTTGGGGATATCTAAAGTTTCCCTAAGTAACCTTAAAGATCCAAAATATCTGTTCTGAAATTATACCAACAAGAAAGCAGAGACAGTTGTCAGAACACAAAGTTGTCAGGGGCTTGAAAAGAGCTTTCATTTGATTGATGTGTTCCCATGGGAAAATTAATAAATAGGCCTCAGGACTAGCCAAGCAAAAAGGAATTTTAGAGCCCAGATGTCAGGGAATTATCTCCACTCCAGAGAGACAGCCAGTAAGGTACCCAGCTATCTTTCCATCAAAGATGCCTGTCACTGTAAACAGCTTTTGCTTGCCTAGAACTCTAATCTTGCCACTCAAAACTGAGACTCCTAGGAGACTAGCGTAGCCTCCAATTTCTTGGACTTTAGATCAGCTTACAGAGAATAGTGAGGTTCTTGAAAAACATGATCTGCCCTTACCAATGTCAGCAGATGTTTCTTCAGGACAAAGTTTCAGGAGTTTTACTCCCCAATAGGTAGCCAATCAACCAGTGAGAAGTGAAGGCACAGGCTTTAAAGATGCACATTTACAATCCTGAATGAAAGATTAAGCAGTTTAGAAATGAATATGACCTTCTCTGGGGTTAAAGAAAAAAAATTTAATGATAAACATTAAATACAGTAAGGCGAACTGCATTTTGCATCTACACAGTAAGTGTAGACACCACTGCAATTGAATTTTGTAGAAAAGGGAGATAAATTAAGTTCAGTTATGAACACAAGGAAAAAGATAGATTTAGAGAAAAGGTTTAAGGTGAGGGTCAGTGGATAGAAAGTTATTAAGATAAAACATAAGGGGCTGCAGGGATTCTGGCCAAACTAATCTAACAAGATAGTTGCTGAAGGCAGGTCAGTGGGATATCTGGGGAAGGAGGAGTTTGAGAGACCTGAAAATATCTTAAATCAGATATAAAATATTAGATATAAGTGTTGGCAGATTCTAGTTAAGCTAATTTAACAAGACTCAAATTTAGAAGATTCGGGACAATGCAAAGAAGAATACCCAAATACTAAATGCAAAGAGGAAACACAAAAGCCAGCTTTTATAGGAGATGCAATTTTAGATAGGACAACAAGCATTTGGTCAAGGAGAAAAAAAAATTCTCACTAGTCTATAGTGATTATTTCATTTCTTGCTAGAACACACACACACACACACATATACATACACACACGTGTACACACACAGAGAGAGACAGAGAGATGCATACACATGCATATATGCATAATAAAGGGAATGTATTTCATATAAGAAATCTCCAACTAAACTAAGTGATTAAGTTTTTTAAAAAGAAGGATAACATGGGCTGGGGATGTAGCTCACTGGTAAAGCACTTGATTGGCATGTATAAGGCCCTAGATTCAACTTCTGGCAACACACACAGTTACACACACACACACACACACACACATGCCAATACTGAATGGTTTTACCAGTTCCACTTCTGGCTAGATTGTAGAAGAATTGATTGAAGGATCTTCACAAGGTTTTGGCCCAAGGTCAATCACAAAACTCCATTCCTGGAAATGAAGAGATGCAAATTACCTAGGTATATGTTAATGAATTTTTGATAAAATGTTCATAAATATCACTAAACCTTAAAAAAAATAGGGAATTGGGATAGATGCTACAATATTAAGAAAACATTACACTAAGTAATATGTCTGTCCAAAAAAAAGAAAGAAATTACTATGAATCCACTTACATGAATACCTGACTAGCCAATTTCAGAGAAGCAGAAAGTAGAAGTAAGGTAGACAATGAACCAGGGGAGGAGGAAACCAGGAGTTCTTGCTTAACTTATATAGATTTCCTGTGTAAAAATAAAAATGTTCTGGATGTTGTTCACATAAAAAATGTGAAATATATGCATGTGTAATACAGAATTTTATACCATTAGAAATTGTTATAACTATATATTATATTGTATATATTATAACTTAATTTTTAATACAGCCCAACATAATTTCCTTAAATTCTTATTTATTTCCTTAAATGGTTGTACAAACCTTACAATACTCCGTGTTCTGTATTTTCTCTTTTGTGATGGAACAAATTCTTTCCTTTACAGGAAATGGAAGACTTTGTCCAGAGCTCTGGAGAGTATGGTGTTGTGGTGTTTTCTCTGGGGTCAATGGTCAATAACATGACCGAAGAAAGGGCCAATGTGATTGCATCAGCCCTTGCCCAGATTCCACAAAAGGTTAGATAAAGTGCCCTAATGGTAGATAACTACTAAATATATAAACAAAAATATATACAGCAAATTCTGAAATAGCACAAAGGATATTTTTGATTAATAATACATTAACATTGTGCTCAGGATGAAATACATTATTCAGGTGCAGTATGAACTTGGTATCAAAAGAGTGTTACATGCAGATACACAGTAATCTCCAAATTCTGATCTTTCATTTCCTTGTTTTGCTTGCAGAACTCCTGAGGACACTGTGCACACTACAGATATCAGAAGCATGGAGTTAAATATTAGTCATTTATTGCATCAGTGCAATAGCAATAGCAGGCAATAAAAAGTCTGAATAGCATCATACAGCATCATCATCCTATATAATCCTGGCCTTGATACTCCCCCTAAATGTTAGAAGGGGCCTAGTTATGATGATTTTTTGTGCTGCTAGTTAGAGAAAGGAAGGCCAGGCTCACCAACCCTGAGTGCAGGTATCCATCAAAACAAGGAGACTTAGTTTGTCATGGTGGACATGGCCCTATTATGGATTTCTCAAGAAGGAAGGTATAAGAGAAAAGGTGGAGATGGAATCCTGTGAATTAGAAACTGTGACCCTACAAGGACAAAACACTAGTAACCCATGGAGAAAGTGGTTATACTAATCTTCGCATATCAGGACAAAGGTTAATATTAAATTTAGTAGATAAGAACTAGTATAAAATACAAATTTCTAAAACAAAATGAATATAAATAGTAATTTTTACACATTATGCTCTAGATCTATAATTATCAATTTCTTAAATATTTGTATTTGATATTGATAAACTCATTTGTCTAAGCTACTACTTATATGAAGCTACTATTTATATGACCTTGATTAAATATAAAAATGAATGCAGGAAAATTATGTCTCTATTTATATACCATTTCAATAGTTATTATTATTTATTGTTTCTTGATCTCATTTCTTTATCTTGCATAGGATAGGTATTTAAGTATGTGATTTCTTTCTTAATTGCATTCAAATTTTAATATCCTATAATTTGAAATTTAACTCAACTAATAAGAGGCTTGCTTTACCCTAACAGGTCATATGGAGATATGATGGCAAGAAACCAGCTACCTTAGGACCCAATACTCGACTTTACAGATGGATTCCTCAGAATGACCTTCTTGGTAAAACTCAGAATAAATCTCAAAAACATGAGTCATAGCCAATTAGAAAAATAATAATTAAAAATGTTTTGAAAATTTATTAAGAAAATTTCAAAATAATCTGACTTTTAAAGTTCTCTATTAAGTCCTAGGAGAAAGTGAATAAAGAACAACTGTGGGCATTTTATTATACAAAGTCATATTGTTGGTGGTCGTAGTCCAAGTATCCTTATTTTAGGGGTATTACCTCTCACAAAGAATTTTTTGGTCACTTCCTGGATTGTCCCTTATCTCCTATTTCTACAATTTTACACCTACCATTTGACATACAATAGTGCTATCTGAAATGCTGATAAAAAACAGCCCTCTCTCTGTTATTACAACTGACTCTGCATGTTCCATATCCTAAAAAAAAATCCATAATCTTTAGAAAAAAATTAGGAAAAGGATGGAATTTAATCCTTATTTATAGGACACTGTAAAATATAAAATTTCACATAGTAATAGGAAACCCATTTAGAAGACAATCTTTATACATATATACAGTTTGCAACTGTTCTAGTACAGTTGGGTTGTAAAAAGTGCTATAATGACAAACCACATTTACAAAGAGTTTTAGCAGAAAAACAGTAAGACAAATTTATTCCAAACACACTACACAATAAAATTTATGCCTCAGCTGTATAGCATATAAGTTAAAAGTCCCAGGAGTGCTGTCCTGAACTTGGAAGGTACAGCCTTCAGAGGCAGTTTCTGGCACAACATTCTGATCATCCTCTTTCTCTACTGAAAAACACTTCTCAATCAAGTTTAAGATCTTAATCATGAAGTTGTACTTCCTAATGAAGTATAGCCAATCCTACCTCTGGTTTCATAACCACCAACAACCCACTCCCTGCTGCATTGGACACCCTTCATAGCATGCTCAGGGACATCATTGTTGTTTTAATTGAACACATATATCCAGGTCCCCTCTTATGTTTGCACAGGTTGGTTGTTCTACCCAGCATGTCCTCCTTCCGTTTGTCTAGGTAGCAAACTTGTTTTCATTTTTCAGATCTCAGGTAACATACCAACTCTTCCCTGTAATCTTCACTTACCTCGCCAGTGGACACAGGTGCCTCTTGCCCCAAGAATTGAAAGTAATTGTGATATGAATTCATCATTATAAGAGATATATCAAGAACTATGTAATGTTTTGAACAACCAACAATAAAAAATAAAAAAATAAAAATAAAAAAGAATCTATTACCTAGAAAACAATTTATCTTTATTGCTTTACATTACATATTTGACAATTTATTTCTGACATGAATAATTTCCCTTCATTTGTTTCAATCCTAGGTCATCCAAAAACCAAAGCTTTTATAACTCATGGTGGAACCAATGGCATCTATGAGGCCATCTATCATGGGATCCCTCTGGTGGGCATTCCCTTGTTTGCGGATCAACCTGATAATGTCATGCACATGAAAGCCAAAGGAGCAGCTCTTAGACTGAATTTTATTACAATGTCAAGTATGGATTTACTCAGTGCGTTGAATACAGTCATTAATGAACCTTCGTAAGTATAACAAATTTTTCAGTAAAGTAATATTTATATTTAGGTACCTTTGAAAATGAGAAAAGATTTATTCCTCTTTGAGTCTAATGTTAATAACTAAAATTATTGAACTCTTTGAAATGTGCTTTTATTCTCAACCAATCATATTTACATTGCAAATTAGCCTTACAAATTTACTTAATTAGCAGTACTAGTTATTAGTAAAATAATGTGATACTAAAAATTTTTTACTATAAAGCTAAATATAAAGAAGACAGTTTTTGCTAATATGACAAGAGAACAGAGGGACAATGCAGTTGAGAAATAATATATTTCCATTTGATACCTAAAATTTCCAAAACTACCAACATTTTTTAAAAATTATATATACTTATTTGGTATGGCAGAATAATTTGATACATGTATATAATATGCAATGACCTGATCAGGGAAATTTTTATTTCCATATTTTTAAATATTCATAATGTTTTCTGCTAGGAACTGTCAAACTCTTCTCCTCTAATTCTTTATAATATATATAAAAAATTATAAACAATAGTAAACCTATTGTGCTACATACCAGTAGCACTTATTCCTTCTATCTAACTGTAGCGTGTTCTGTGTTTTTCAACTTCTCTTTAGACCCCCTTGCTCCTACAATTCCCAGCCTCTAATTACTCCTTTTCAATAATGTACTTCTATTAAGTCAGCTTTTTAGACTCCACATGAGAATGAGAAAATGCAGTATTTTTCTTTTGGTGCCAGTATATATGATTTAGCATAATTACTTCCACTTCCATCCTTGTAAGTAGAAATGACAATATTTCATTCTTTTTCATGGCTGAATAAAATCCAGCTGTGTGTATTTGTGTGTGTGTGTGTGTGTGTGTATTACCATGTTTGCTTTAGCCATCATCCAATAATGAACACCTCAGTAGATTTATAGCTTGACTATTGTGAATAGTGATGCAGGTAAACATGGAATTTCAGGGCCTCTTTGATAAACTGATTTCGTTTTCATTGTGTTAGTATACAGTAATGCGAAAGCTGAATCCTATGGTAGTTCTATTTGCATTATTTGAGGAAACTCCATGTTCTTTTTTTCCATAGTGGCTATACAAATTTGCATTCCTCTCAGTGGACTATAAGAGGTCCCCATCCTCTTGTACCTCACCAGCATTTGTTATTTTTTCACTTTTAGATTATGACCATTCTATTCAATGAAATTATCTCTCATTTTTGTTTTTGTTCTTATTGTTGCTGCTACTCTTTTTGGCATGCTGAAGATGGGTGTTTTTCAAAGTTTGAGTAGAAAACTACAAAAGAGTTCTGAATTCAACCTTGTGGATTGATTGTTGTTTGATTTACATCTCACTCCATGATTAGTAAAGTTGAGCACTTTGTCATATACAGTATCTTCTTTTGAAATCAAAATGTCTATTCTGATCATTTTCTGTTATTTACAGCAATAATTTGGATTTTGCTGCTGAGGTTTTAGAATTCCTCACATATTCTAGATATTCATCTTTTCTTACATTAATTATTTACAAGTATTACCTCCCAATTGTGCATGTTTTCTGTTTACTCTCTTGGTGTTAACTTTGCAGTGCAAAAGCTTCTCAATTTAACATAATCCTAATTGTCTATTTTTCCTTTTGTTGTATGTACTTTTGGAATCTCATGTAAAAAAAAAAAAGTCATTGACTATACTGATTTCTTCAAGTGTTTCCCCTCTACTGAAAAATATAAACTTTTCCCCAAAATTGATTTTTACTTTAACCGATTCTATTATATATAATTTGTATACCATATATTTCTTGTTTGAGCTGTAAAAGTCAAATAATTTGGGTTATGTTCACATAGTTCAGAATTCTTCTTCAAGAGATAATTTTATAACATTTTTGTTGTGCCAAAAAAGAAATTTCATATATCTTTCAAGTAAATCTCTGTTAACCTCCAGCTCTTCTCCACAACTAATATAGATTCAGTCTCTAAAAACTAGCCTCAGATGCACATTTCATACAAATAGAACCAGACATACAATTGCAGCCAGCTCCAACTGGGTTGTTTCACTTACTATATTGTTTTTTTTTTTAATTTTGTCCATGTTTAAACAAGTAACTATGTGATTTCTACTTATTACTGAATAATATTCTTTGGTGTGGATGGATATAACACATTTTATTTAACCATTTATTACATCATGGGCATTTGGGATTTTTTTCTAATTTCAAATATTTGAACATGGCTTGTTTTGTGTGGAAAAAGTTTTTTTTTTTTTCATTTCTTTTGTGTAGTGCCAAAGAGTGGCATTACTCCCTCACATGAGAATTTCATGTTAGTAATTAAATTCTCTTCTGTTTGCCAAATAATTGGCAAGATTTTACATTCCTAGAAGTAGTATAGGAGACTTCTAACTTTTCCACACCATTGCTAAAAGATGCTATCATCTGTCTTCTTTTTATAATGCCAATCCTAGTGGTTATGAACTGACAACTAATTGTGTCCTTGATTTGCACCCTACAGGTTGTTTAAAATGATGAATTGTTGTTCACATGCATACTAGATAGTCATGTTTATTCCCTGTACAAATAATTATCCAAGTCTTTAAATCCTTTGTTAATTAGGTTACTTGTCTTAATATTGAATTATCAGTAGTCTTTATTATAGAGACACGTTTATATTGAGATATTTGATTTGCATATATTTTCTTCTATTCTGAATGGATGAGTTCATCATTTTTATAATGGCGTACTTTGGAAAGCAAATAATTTCAATGTTTATAAAATATCTTTTATAATCAAATTTTCTCTTGATACAACAAAAATTGTTCTGTAAAATGTATAGTGCTTAGATTTCTACCATCAAGTCAGCATTGATCATGACTACCAATACTCATTATTTACGGAAGGTATGACCTATCGGAATACTTTGACAATGTATTACCAAAAAAAAAAATTGTTACAATTTTGAATGCTAAAATACTTTAAAATTAGATGAGAAGGAATAAAAAAACATAATGCAAGTAGGAAAAATGGTAACAAAAATATGGAATAAGTTGGTAGATTTATATAGTACTATATCAATATCTATCATAATTATTAATCACATCATTAAAAGATAATCAGATTGGATTTTAAAAACCCATCATATACTATTTTTCTGAGATATGTTTAACTTAATTACATAGAAATTATATGAGAAAAGACATAAAATATTTTAAGTGTCAATCAAGGTGTTGCAGCTGGGCATGGTGGTGCAAGCCTGTAACTCAGCGATTTCTGAAGCAGAGACATGATTGTGACCTCAAGGCAAGCCTCAGCAACTTAAAGAGACCCTGTCTCAAAGTAAAATATAAGAAGGATTAGAGTAGTGGAGGGCCCCTGAGTTCAATAATCACTAACACAAAATAAATAAATAAGCTCTTGTAGCTATATTACTATCAGAGAGTAGACAAAACTAAATATGAAAAGAATATTTCTTAATTTAGAAGTCATTCAATATAAAATAAACCTATTAATGAAATTTTACATAAAAATATAAAATGTAAATGCACAGGTCTATAGTCATAAAAGTTTTTAAAAACTTTTATCAATAACACAGATAATGATGGAAAATAATATTCATATTTGAAGAATCTGATATATTTGGGTATGCCATAAAACTGGTTTCATAAATTACAAATGATTTGAATCTAAAGAATATATTTTCCAGTCATATTGCAATTAAATCAGAAAAAAATTAAAGAAAATATTAACTAAAAAACCTCTACGTTTTGAAAATTAAGAAATATATGTCTAAGTAATTCATATTGCACAAAGAAATCACAATCATATTTTCATTTTTATATCAACAATACCACTCCCAGGCATATAAGCAATAGAATATATGAATATTTAAAATACTATGTATATTAATTAATATTGTCAAAATGGCCATACTACCAAAAGCATTATACAGATTTAATGCAATTCAAATTAAACTCCCAATGACATTCTTCATAGAAATATAAAAAGCAATCACTAAGTTTATTTGGGAAAATAAGAGATCCAGAATAGCCAAAGCAATCCTTAGCAAGAATAGTGAAGCAAGAGGAATCCAAATACCACATCTTAAACTATACTATAAAGATATAGTAACAAAAAGGCATGGTATTGGCACCAAAATAGACATGTAGACCAATGGTACAGATAGAAGACACAGAAACAAACCCACATAAATAAAGTTATCTCATTCAAGACAAAAGTGCCAAAAACAAACATTGGAAAATAGATAGCCTCTCCAACAAATGGTGCTAGGAAAACTGTAAATATATATGGAGTAAACTAAAACTAAATCCCTCCCACCATGCACAAAACTCAACTCAAAGTGGATGAAGTACCTCAGAATTAGATCAGAGACCCTGTGTTTTACAGAAGAAAAAGTAGGCCCAAATCATCAAGTCAGATTAGGCCTTGACATCTTTAACAAATCTCCTAAAGTGCAAGAAATAAAATTAAGAACCAATAAATAGGATGGATTAAAATGGAAAATCTTCTTCTCCATGAAAAGAAACAATTAATGAGTGAAGAGAGAGCCTATATTTTGGGAGCAAATTTTTGCCACACTCAAGATGGATAGAGCACCAATATCCAGGATATATAAAGAGCTCAAAAAACTTAACACCAACAAACAAACAACACAATCAATAAATGAGCTAGGGAGCTGAACAGACACTTCTCAGAAGAAGATATACAATCGATCAACAAATACATAAAAAATGTTCAACATATCTAGGAATTAGAGAAATGCGAAGCAAAACTACTCTAAGATTTAATCTCATGCCAGTCAGAATGGCAGTTATCAAGAATACAAGCAACAATAAGGGTTGGCAAGGATGTAAGAGAAAAGGCACACTCACACTTTGCTGGTGGGACTGCAAGTCTGTGCGACCAATCTGGAAAGCAGTATGGAAATTCCTTGGAAAACTTGAAGTGGAACCACCATTTGACTCAGCTATCCCCTTCCTTGGTCTATAACCAAAGAACTTAAAAACAGCATACTACAGTGGTGAAGCCACTTCAACGTTTATAGCAGCACATTTCACAATAACCAAACTGTGGAAACAACTTAGATGCCCTTCAATAGATGAATGGATAACAAAACTATGGAATATTATACACAATGGAATATTACTTAGAATTTAAAAAGAATGAAATTTTGGCATTTGCAGGTAAATGAATGGAGTTTGAGAATATCAAGATAAGCAAAATAAACAAATCCCCAAAAAATAGGCGCTGAAAGTTTTCTCTGATAATGATTGCTAATGCATAATAGATGGGGCATGGGATGAGTGCAGGAATTTGGGATGAGGCAAAGGAGAGGGGACAGGAAGAATCAGGGCAGAAAAGTTGGTGGACTGAGATGGACATTGTGGGCTTCAGGAGAAAACTGAAAACATAAAATTATGTCTGTAACATAATATGCACAGGAAGAATGATAGGAGAGAACATTTCCAGTATATGACTTTCTGTGGTCCAGTTGTGCTAGACCCAGTCTGATTTTCTCTTAAAATTGGGAGCCATCTTGCCACAAAGCCATGAAAAGATAATTTCGGCTTTACTGTAAATTACTGCAAATTCTAAACTAGCTTGGAATGCCTGCCCTTACCTTGAACTCATCCATGCCTGGCTCTCTCTGACCAGATAGCAGCCCTCTCTGAAACTTCAGGGACACCTCACAAATCTTGGCTTTCCCTGGCCAGATAAGGACCCTCTGAGAGTCTCTAATGACCTTCATAAATTCTGACAACGGGGACAGCAAAAATATAAACTAGCCTTTGTGTTATGCTCCTCAGAGTTTTGTTATCTATAACCTCCCTTTTGTAACTTTCTGGGCTATAAACCTAGGCTGCAAGAAATCTGCAGGGCTGTCTTATTCCCACGGTTTTTGGTGGGAGAGGCAGCCCAGCTGGTCGAAATAATAAGCTTGCTTTAATTTGATTTTAATTGGAGTCAGTGGTCTTTTCTGGTGTCCTAATCTAACAGTAATCCAAAGAGTATATCTGGATGTTATTCTAAATATGATTATGAGTGAAAATCTTTGAGCCAGTGTATAACCTGACATGGATACTAGATAGAAATTAGACAGTAGAGAGCAATAAAGAAGATTAAAAACAGAGAGACTGATTAAAAGTCATTTCACCCACTATGACAATTTCTCTTCAAAGACGTCAAGGTGATCATTTCAATTGCAATTAACTATCTTATTTATAGTGCTTAGAATGGCTTATTATCATTTTATCTGGGGCAAATGATTTATTTTTCTAATCAACCTTCCATTTTCTCTTTGAAAAATATTTGCCCAAAAGAAAATTCCAAATTAAAAGTTAAACTTTCTATGATGATCAAACATCTTTAACAACAACAACAGTCTATGGCTATTCTTTGCATTTGTGTGTAGTACTGAGAATTGAACTCAGGTGCATTGGTCATGATAGGCAAATTTTCTACCTCTGAGCTACATCCTCAGCCCACTTTGTTGAATTTTGAGACAATGTCTTGCTAAGTTGCCCAGACTTAGCATTGAACGTATTATTCTGCTTCAGCCTCCCAAAGAGCTGGGATACAGGCCTGTGTCACCAACCTGGCTCTTCTGTGGCTACCTAAGGCACTTGTTTAGATTCAGTTTTATGAACATTTCTAAAAGCCTTACATAGACTTAATATACTTATGCAAATTAAGCTGCTTTAAATGTTGGTGTCTTATGGTTTGTCCTTTAGATATAAAGAGAATGCTATGAGGCTATCAAGAATTCACCATGATCAGCCAGTGAAGCCTCTGGACCAAGCTGTCTTCTGGATCGAGTTTGTCATGCGCCACAAAGGAGCTAAACACCTCCGGGTTGCTGCCCATGACCTCTCCTGGTTCCAGTACTACTCTTTGGATGTGCTTGGGTTCCTGCTGGCCTGTGTGGCAACTGTGATATTTGTCATCACCAAATGCTGTCTGTTTTGTTGCCAGAAGTTTGCTAAAACAGGAAAGAAGAAGAAAAGGGCGTAGTTGTATTTAGACCCAAAGCTGGGAGTCCTGTCAGATGGACCTCCTCCAGTTCAATTTCACAAGAAGAGATTGTGAACCAGGCTCCTTCTTCTGCTTACAAAATCACTTTTCAAAATTTATCTCATCAAGACACAGCCCAGTTTTCCAAGATATACTGCTTGTTTAAGAGTTAGAACTATTTCAGGACAAAGGGAGATGGGAAAAAAATAATAATAATAAAATGATATAAGTGTCTATTGAAAATTACTGCTGGAATTTACAAGTTGTACAATATTAATTTACTGAGCTGGCCTGTGGTTCATAACTCATTCATGGATACAAGAACTTTCAAAAGTATACTCATAGTGTCAACATAGATTTGCAAACACTCAGCATGGTTTAATTTCACTTGGGTGTAGAGTTTTGTAGTGTTAACTTTTTCTGAATACGGTATTCAATACTTAAAATTGTGCATCAAGATTCACCCTTCTCTTTTGTTTTGGGAGACTGGTAGTGCTGGCTTGTACATCCAGCCTTAGCATCATTTCTCTTCAGGACCTGATAAGACTTTTATCTTCTTCTTGCTAAAGTCATTTCCAAGAAAGGTATGTCAAATAAGAAATATACTGTTTCCTACCTACACATTTATTCTGTTTTCTTTTAACCACATAAAAGTAATGATCTGGTTACACTGATTCTCATATTCAGTCTTTGGAAAGAGATGTAAGATATCAATTATAGGTTATGATAATATAGAACTGATAGTAGAATTAGTAAAAATACTTAACTGCTTTTTCATTTCTTCCCAATGTTTTTCCAAAACAAGACACAGGATACAAGTCCATTATGAGATACTTGATTTGCAAATATGTTTCCATTGCAGAATGAAAGACTCACCTACTATGAAATCACAGATTAATTTCTTCATAGTGCACTTTGAATCATGTAAATATTTAATTTTAGTTAAATAGTTCTTTAATTACCAAGATTTCCCTAATTCTAATGGAAGTGACAAAGTTAAGTACATTGTGCCATTTATATCTATATTCAAGTCAACATTCATTACAACTATTACACTAATCTCACTGTATAAGAAAGTCATCTCCTAAAGGAACACTTTAACAATGCATGAACAAAAAATAGTAATAAATTTCAGTGGAAAAGTACTTTAAAATTCAAGAAAACAATAGAATGGAATATATAATTCAGGTGAGAAAAACAGTAAGGGAATATAAAATAAAATGGTGAAATCAACTCTGAAGATATTAAAGATTACATTAATTATAAAAACTGGAATTACTATCAGACGAAGAATGTAAGACCATATTTTTTAAAACTAACTATCTACCCTGTTTATAAGACATGCTGAATTTAAGTATACAGGAAGGCCGTGCGTGAAAAAGTAAGAAAAGTTCTACTGAAACCATAACTAAAATAAGTAATTTTACCTCCAATAATACTACCATTATTTTCCAAAATAACAACTAAAATTAAATATTAATATTTTTACAATATTATTTGAAGTCATTTTAAAGTATACCATACTCAATTTTATGCACCTACTAAATAAACTTCAAATTAAAGAAGTCTAAATGAACAAAAAAAAGAATACACAGAATCTATTGACATAATAAAATGATATTGAATACCTTTACAATAAGACACAAATTATTTTAAAAATTAATAAATATGGGCTAGGATTATAGCTCAGTGATATAGTGCTTGCCTCACATCATGAGACCCTAGGTTCAATCCTCAGCATCACATAAAAATAAATAAATAAATGGTATAAAAAATTAATAAATATAAGTGCACATTAGACTGATAGAATGTAATAAATGTAACCTAAGTGATGAATGTATATTTATAACAACAAAACAGTAGATTTGAAAAGGTAGAAATCATAAATAATATACTGTGCAGATACACAGGATTTAAGTGAGGAAACAAAAAATATTTAACTAAAATAACCACATCTGGATATTAATCTAAATACATGAGGATCCATGTGGAAACTTTGGTCACACTAGTATCCAAAGCTGACATGTATTTAATCAAAAATGATCTTTCTGGCAAAAGGTAGAATAGAAGAGAAGAAACATAATTGTTAAAAGTCATTTCACCCACCCTGACAAAATGCCTCCTCAAAAAGGTCAAGATGATCATTTTCAAATAGCATTTAAACATTTCACTTACCACTCTGAGAATGGTTTACTACGACTTGATCTCTAGAAAAGATTAAGCTTCCCACTTGACATTCCATTTTAACTTTGGAAATATTTATGCACCAGAAATCTCCAACTTAAAGAGATTGTACTACTTTGAATTCACTCTTTTCAAGCACAATTTTTGTTTTCATTACATTTGAACTTGAAATGAAAGTAAAGAAATAAATAAACCTCCAACTTAGGAGCCAAGTTGTCCAAGTTCAAAGAACAATACTTTTAAGGCTGTTCTATGGCACTTATTTGACCCACTTTTGTAAACTCAAAGAACATTTTAGAGACTTGAAAAGTTCGACCAAATAACTGGCTTTAAAAATTGGTGTCTTATGATTTTCCTTTAGAGATAAAGAGAATTCTGTTAGATTATCAATAATTCACCATAAGCATCCAGTTGAGCTATCATCTGGATCAAGTTTGTCATGTGCCACAAAGAAACTAAACACCTTTGGTTGTTGCTCATGACCTCTCTTGGTTCCAGTACTACTCTTTAGATGTAGTTGTGTTTCTGCTGGCCTGTGTGGCAAATGTGATGTTCATCATCACTAAATTCTGTCTGTTTTGTTGCCAAAAGTTTGCTAAACCAGGCAAGAAGCAAAAAAAAGGAGAAGTTTATTCAGCCTGAACCTGGGAGTCCTAACAGATGGACTTCTTCTAGTGTATTCCAGCAAAAAGCTGTTACAATGCTAGACTCCCTACTGTTGTGAGAAATTTTCACAACTTACCATAATTAACTCAAAGTTTCTTTTCCAGAATTTTGATTCCTGGTTAAGGAGTATAAATGTTTCAGGTCAAAGAAAAATCAAACATTGGAGAAGAATAAGCTATATGAACCTATGTAGAAATTTAATAGTGTAATTTATTATTCATACTGATAAAACTATTGAGCTTAATTATAATTATTCTTTGTGATAAGACTAGAAAGGATTTACTCAGAGTATCAATATGGTTTCTCAAATTCTTGGCCTACTCTAACTTAATTTTAGTAAAGAATTTTGTACATTTAACTTTCTTAAAGAAAACACTCAATAATTTCAATTGTGTAAAAAGACTAAATCCTTCGATTGGATTTCAGAAACCAGTATTTCTGCTGTATTTTACTATAAACCCAGCCTCAGCATAACTTCTCTCCTGAGCATCTGGAAGTATGTTTGCCAAGTTTCAGCTAAGTCACTTCTCAATAGAATGTGTATGGAATTAGAAACATAAAGATTTTTATCTGCTTTCTATGGTTGAGCTATTGAAGAAAATATTTGGTTTTGTTAGCTCATTGTTATTTATTCTTAATCCTTCAAATAAATTCAGCTGGTTGCCCACTCTCATAATCATACTTTGGACATAGATACTAGGTCTCAATTATAGGTTGTGTTAATACAAAACAGGAACAGGAAAGAAACTTGCTCTCACCTCAAATAGGACACAATGCTACCTACATTTGTTACAGTTATATTGTGAAATGTACTAAATTTTGTAGACAGTTTGCAATTATGTTTACTGTTCTATAATTTGTAATTATGAAGAGCTTTCTAATTTTTCTCTTTTCTCAGTAGCTAATTGCCTCATCCCACCCATAACTCTAATAAGGGATCTAAATAATTTGGAATGACTGAAAATAAAACCTTCATACTTTTCCTTCAAACCTCAGCTTGTTATCTATTATAATAATTACTAACACTGAAAGCAATATAAAAAATATATAAATTGTGTGGAAAATAGATAATTAAAACCACTAGTAGTCCAAAGGCTGTCCTTTAAAGAAAACATCACAGAACATTTTGATGATCAAAGTGGACCAAAACTGAGGAATAGTTATTTTTTTAAGTCAGCTTTTTCACTGGCTCATTTCTTCTGTGCTCCAGGTGAGGCAGAACATCCTGTTGGAAGAGTGTGCTGGAGGGAAGCAGCTCACATCATGACCAGAAGAGAGAGAGAGAGAGAGAGAGAGAGAGAGACAGAGAGAGACAGAGAGAGACAGAGAGAGAGAGAATCCACTTGCTACATACAAAATATATACCCCAAAGCCAGGCTACCTACAACTACACACCACCTGCCTTCAATTGCTTCTCAATGAATCCCATCAGGTCATTATTTCACTGATTGGCTTAAGGATCTCACAGCCCAATCATTTCCCCTCTGAACCATCTCACATTGTCTCTCAAGTGAGCTTTTGGAGAACCTCTCATACCCAAACTACAACAGTTAATTCTCTCTTTTGATATGAAGACCACCATCCAAGCCTCACAAGAAACAATCTTTGTTATAAGCTATTAATTAAAATAAATATTAAAACCTATATTTATATCTTTTGTCACTTCTTTATTCATGCATTATAGTATACAAGCTGGTAGCATTTGATATGACATATTCGTACATGTACACAATGACACAATATGACAATATAAGTTGGCCAATATCACTTCCCAGCACTTTCTCCCACCCTTTTCTCCTCTGATCCTTTGGTTCCTTCCCTCTCCTGATCTCCCACTGATTTTCATGAGATTCACACCAGTCTTTCCTTTTCCTCTCTAGCTTTCACATATGAGAGAAAACATAAAACCCTTGATTTTCTGAGTTTGACTTATTTTGTCTAACACAATTATCTCCAATTCCATCCATTTTCATGCAAATGACATAATTTTATGTTTTCTTTATGGTTGAATAACACTTCATTATGTATATATACCACATTTTCTTTATCTATTCATTCATTGGCAGGCACCTAAGTTGATTCTATAATATGGATATTATGAATTGTGCTGCTTAAAATATGAGTATGAAGGTATCTCTGTAATAAGATGACTTTAATTCTTTGGGTAAATATTAAGAAGTTGTATAGCTGGGTAATATGATAGTTTCATGCCTAGCCTTTGAGAAACTTCCATCCTGACATGCATATGGTTGTACTAGTTGACAATCTCAACAACAGTGAAAAGTTGTTTCTTTTTTCCACATTTTATTCAGCATTTATTATTCTTTTTATTATTTTTTTGTTTTTAAATATATAATTTAATATTTGTATTTATAAAAAACATATTAGTCTCTTTGGAGGATGGTAAGGAGCCCATTATATGAAAACTGGTAAATAAATGCAGAAGGTTACAGATCTATTCTGCTTTTCCTACACACACTGGTAACAAAGGTAAACACTAGTTGATGTTGAAATTTTTCTTTTTATAGAAGTACTGCAGCTAATGAAGGAAGGAGGAATAATAAAATATAATGATTTTGTTGTTCCTAATGAAATCATGGATGTAGGTGAGGATCAAAAATGGCTACTTTTACAAAAAAAAAAAAAAAAGGTGAGAGACAGGTGTTCCCTGCATCTTTTTTTTTTTTTTAATTTTTTATTGTGGGTTGTTCAAAACATTACAAATTTCTTGACATATCATATTCTACACTTTGATTCAAGTGGGTTATGAA